TGAGCCGAGCTTGCGCCACTGCACTCCAGCCTGGCGACAGAGCAAGATTCCGTCCCAAAAAAAAAAAAAAAAAAAAAAAAATCATGCAGGGGCCGGACGCAGTGGCTCACCCCTGTAGTCCCAGCACTTTTGAAGGCCGAGGCGGGTGGATCGCTCGAGCTCAGGAGCTCGAGACCAGCCTGGGCAACATGGTGAAACCCTGTTTCTACAAAAAATCAAAAATTAACGGGTCGTGGTGGTGCTTGCCTGTGCTCCCAGTTACTTGGGAGGCTGAGGTGGGAGAATGGAGTGAACCTGGGAGGTCGAAGCTACAGTGAGCTGAGACCGCGCCACTGCACTCCAGCCTGAGCAACACAGTGAGACCCTGTCTTAAAAATTAAAATAATATGCAGGGATTCAAAAAAGCAGCTGGCTGGCAGCTTGATCTTCTAGTCCAGTTGTTCCCAACAGGAGAAACAGCACCCTCTAGGGGTCATAATGTGAATCTGCGGCGACGCTGCTGGTGTTGAGGATCGGAGAACACCAGATATCCTGCAAAGCACAGGGAGACCCATACAATGGAGAATTGAGAACTGTATAGTGTCTTACAACTCTTTCAAATGCCTCAATCAACTTTCATGTGGGTGCAAAACTGCCTATTGATTATCTGAGCCTAGATTCTAACTCAGCCCCAGCTTTTTTTTTTTTTTTTTGAAACAAAGCCTTTGTCTGTTGCCCAGGCTGGAGTCCAGTGGTGCAATCACTGCTCACTGCAGCCTCAACCTCCCAAGCCTCAAGCGATCCTCAAACCTCAGCCTCCTGAAGTAGTTGGGACCACAGGTGTGCCACCACACCCTGCTAATTTTTTTTTTTTTTTTTTTTTAGAGACAGGGTGTCACTCTGTTACCCAGGCTGGTCTTGAACTCCTGGGCTCAAGTTATCCACCCACCTCAGCCTCCCAAAGTGCTGGGATTATAGGCACGAGCCACTGCACCTGGTCCTAACTCCCTTTTACAAGTAAAGTATTTTCACATAGTTTCAATCTTCATTGATATTTTTTCCCAAGAACGCAACTACCATGTCAATTGAAGGAAAACGGTGCCATGTTTGGCTTGGAATTTTGCCAAAATTAATCATTTCAGAAAATCATGGCATCATTTAGAGCTATCTGGTATTGGAGCAACCAATGCATACTATTCTTATATGCATGTGTTGCCATATTTACGATAATTATACCTACAGGTGCAAGCATCTGGTAATGACTGAAATATATACCTAAATACATATTTTATTAAAAGTTACTTCCCAGCTGGGCGCGGTGGCTCACGCCTGTAATCCCAACACTTTGGGAGGCCAAGGCGGGCGGATCACCTGAGGTCAGGAGGTCGAGACCAGCCCGACAAACATGGAGAAACTTTATCTCTACTAAAAATACAAAAAATTAGCCGGGTGTGGTGGCACATGCCTGTAATCCAGCTATTCAAGAGGCTGAGGCAGGAGAATCGCTTAAACCTGGGAGGCGGAGGTTTCGGTGAGCCAAGATCGCACCATTGCACTCCAGCCTGGACAACAAGAGTGAAACTCCATTTCAAAAAAAAAAAAGTTACTTCTCTTTTGTGTATCCTTTATATTGTAGTTAAGATGTTATATTGATGTTTATTGAAACCATGTATACAGACATGTTTCGTTGTCTCTTACCTATTAGCATCATTTTAGAATAGTAAAAGGAGAGTTATAAACTATTTGTTATTAAAAGAAGACATCAGCCAGGCGCGGTGGCTCACGCCTGTAATCCCAGCACTTTGGGAGGCCGAGGCAGGTGGATCACCTGAGGTCAGGAGTTCAAGACCAGCCTGGCCAACATGGTGGAACGCCCACCTCTACTAAAAATAGAAACTTACTCAGCTGTGGTGGTGCATACTGATAATCCCAGCTACTTGGGAGTCTGAGGCAGGAGAATCGCATGAACCCGGGAGGCAGAGGTTGCATTGAGCAGAGATCTAGCCATTGCACTCCAACCTGGGCAACAAGAGCAAAGCTCCATCTCAAAACAAAACAAAACAAAAAAAAAACTATGTTTTTAAAGCAAAAGTTCTGTGAATAGAAACACCTTACCACGGCATTCAATAATTCATAATAGGCATTTGATGTTCATAATTCATAATTGGCATTCAATAAACTCATAGTAGGCACTTAGTTCATAATAGGCACTCAATAAACATGTTATATAAATTGACAAACAAAAGGTCTTCACTCAAATGTTAATCTTTATGACTCATGTCTCCTGAACAAACGTATTATAAACTCCAAATTTGACACCCGTTTGGGAACCTGTATTATTTTCCAAAAACATTAAAGTGCATTCTCAAGACAGGTGGTTTAAAAACAAAATAACAGGCCAGGTGTGGTGGCTCACCCCTGTAATCCCAGCACTTTGGGAGGCTGAGGCAGGTGGATCACTTGAGGTCAGAAGTTCAAGACCACCCTGGCCAACATGGTGAAACCCCATCTGTACTAAAAATACAAAAATTTGCCAAGCATGGTGGCCCGCACCTGTAGTCCCAGGTACTTGGGAGGCTGAGGCACAAGAATCGCTTGAACCTGGGAGGCAGAGGTTGCAGTGAGCCAAGATTGCGCCACTGCACTCCATTCTGGGTGACAGAGCAAAACACCGTCTCAGAAAAAAAAAAAAAAAAAAAAAAACTTTTCAAACTAAATTATTATTTGCCTCTGAACTTCTTTGTCTAGGCTTGATCAGAGGCTCAGGCTCACAAGCTCAGCCGATGATTATAGGCTCTGGGTCCAAACAGCAGTTTGCAGGTGGCTGCAGCAAGGTGGTGTGACAGGTACAGAAGAAAGGAGATGGTGATTCAGGTGACTGAAGAGCCACAAGTGTTGCATGGCTCTGACATCTGTAAGTGGTTCGTCGTGTGCATAGAGTTCGGCTTTCTGTCCATGTTCCCCAGCCCCAACACTGTGCCAGGATTGCATCTCCCTTCTCCACTGGCCACATGAATGTCTTTGTATACCGTAGCCGGGCGTGGTGGTGCACACCTGTAATCCCAACTACTCGGGAGGCTGAGGCATGAGAATCACTTGAACCCAGGATGCAGAGGATGCAGTGAGCCAAGATCACACCACTGCACTCCACCCTAGGTGACAGAGTGAGACCCTATCTCAAAACAAATAAAAAGAAGTCTTTGTGCAATATAAGCACATCTAAGACAGTGTAGTTCTCTCAATCAAAAGGCTAGAATCAATTTGTCACAGGATCTGGTGAAATTTTCTGTATTGGGAATAAGAAGGAGCAAAAGGAGGGGAGGAAGCCATGTAGAAGTACAGAGGAAAGGGAACAGATGATACACATGAGGTAGTTTAGATCCGTGCCAACACGGCAGCCATTGGTCATATGTGGCTCTTCAGCACTTGAAACGTGTCTGGTCCTAAGGAGATGAGCTATGAGTATAAAATACACACCAGATTTCAGACTTTGTATGGGAAAAAGAATTAAGAAATTTCTGTGCCCCAAAAGTGCTATATAAACACTGTACTCTGGTGAATAGATATATTTCTCACAAGGATATATGTTAGCAGTTCTGAAACTACATGTGTGCTAGGGTTGAATAAATAAGTCAATACATCATAGATAATGAGAGCCAGGTTTCTTACTTTCAGAGAAAGAAATTACAACTAAACCAGGGAGAAGGCTAGAAGAAATGGTGTGGTGCTGGATGATGCTTTGAGATAACGTATGAACTCATGTTTATTTACTGATTCGCTTTTGTATTTTTCCATGAGCAGTTAGCAAGTAGTCTGTAGGGTGGTACTATATACCGTGGGCTGTAGAGTCTGTAGAGTGATACGTTGCCACTGTGAGAATAACCATTTTCCCAACACTCATTCACCTACTATTTTAACATACATTGATCATATTGACCTGAATCAATATTCAACTGGAGCTTGAAAAACTAGTGATGTTCAAATTCTATCATTCACACCGGAACAATTCGTAAGTGATGACTACATACCCAGCTAGTTGACAAAATCCTTCATAGCCCATAATGTAGTTCTTTTATACTTATAGTTACCAAGATATGAAGCTTTGCTTCTCATTTGTACACTGAAAGTTTGAGCTATGTTGCAGGTTCAGTAGGATTTTGTGAGCTACTCTAAGACACAACCAGCATGGGTACCTGGGGTAGCCAAAATGGCATCCACAGTGGATCTAAATGCTACCCTAAGAGAGTACTCCAGGTCAGGCACAGTGGCTCACACCTGTAATTCCAGCACTTTGGGAGACTGAGGTGGGCAGATCACTTTAGACCAGGAGTTCAAGGCCAGCCTGGCCAAAATGGCAAAACCCCATCTCCACTAAAAATACAAAAAAAAAGTAAAAAGAAAAATAAAATAGGCCGGCTGCAGTGACTCATGCCTGTAATCCCAACATTTTGGGAGGCCGAAGGGGGCGGATCATGAGGTCACAATATCAAGACCATCCTGGCTAACATGGTGAAACCCCATCTCTACTAAAAAAAATACAAAAAAAAAAAAAAATTAGCTGGGCATGGTGGCATGCACCTGTAGTCCCAGCTACTCGGGAGGCTGAAGCAGGAGAATCGCTTGAACCCAGGATGCGGAGGTTGTGGTGAGCCAAGATCACGTCATCGCACTCCAGCCTGGGCAGCAGAGCCAGACTCGGTCTCAAAAAAATAAAATAAAATAAATAGCCAGGTGTGGTGGCTCACGCCTGTAATCCCAGCTACTTGGGGGGCTGAGGTGTGTGGATCACATGAGGTCAGGAGTTTGAGACCAGCCTGGCCAACATACTGAAACCCTGTCTCTGTTGAAAGTACAAAAATTAGCTGGGCATGGTGGCTCATGCCTGTTATCCCAGCTACTCAGGAGGCTGAGGCAGGAGAATCGCTTGAACCCAGGAGGCAGAAGTTGCAGTGAGATGAGATTGCACCACTGCACTCCAGCCTGGGCAATAGAGAAAGACTCTGTTTCAAAAAAAAAAAGAAAGAAAGAAAGAAAGAGTGCTCCAGAGTCTAATACATTTGTAAAGTGCCGAGTTAGACTCAGACATTTCTTTATTACGAATGAGATTAGGAGACTTTTACACTTCACTAATGTGCTTTGTAAAGCTGAGAAAGGAGGCAGTAGAAAGTAACATTTTCCAAACTTATTTGACTAGACTAGTGTTCTACACAATGCACTTGGGGAAATGTTGATGTGCGCCATTAAAAAAAATTTTTTTAACACAAAAGAAGCATTTTTCCAGCCTGCATAGTTCACTCACCTTCCTTTCTGCCTCTTCTGCCACCATGGTGCCCATAAAGCTTGTGGCGAAGGGAGACCAAAAAAAAGAAGCAGTTTCTAAAGTTCACTCTTGATTGCACCCACTCCGTAGAAGATGGAATCATGGTGCTGCCAATTTTGAGCAATTTTTGCAAGAAAGGATCAAAGTGAACAGAAAAGCTGAGAGTCTTGCTTGGAGAGGTTGTGACCATCAAAATGAGCAAGAGCAAGATTACTGTGCCTTCTGAGGTGCATTTTTCCAAAAGATATTTGAAATACCTCACGAAAAAATACCTGAAAAAGAATTATCTACTTGATTAGTTGTACATAGTTGCTAACAGCAGAGAGTTAGGAATTACATTACTTCCAAATTAACCAGGATGCCCAAATTAACCAGGATGCAGAAGAGGAGGAAGATGAGGATTAAAATTCATTTATCTTGAATATTTTGTATGAGTTCTTTTCTTTTTTCAAGGTGCTGTTAAATTATATGAGTTCTTGAATAAACCTTGGGAACCAAAAACAGAAATAAACCATTTTTCAATCCAAGACAATAAAATAAAGAAAAAGCACCAATAGTGATATATGTCACTACTCTCCCTTGACCCCTCTCCCCAACTATAACAGCCACGTTTTGTCATTCAGATAAATAATATGTGGCGTAGCATGTTCTCACTGCATAATCCTCTCTCTGCATACATGAGCTATTGTTGTATGAGACATTTACAAATCAACTGCCTCCTAGGTCTGGGAGAACACATATGGGAGAGAAGGAGGAATAGAAAACATTATACGTGTACTACCTGCTAGGCACTGTCCTAAATATTTCATGTTAGTGGCAGGGTGCCGTGGCTCACGCCTGTAATCCCAGCACTTTGGGAGGCCAAAGTTGGTAAATCAACTGAGGTCAGGAGTTTGAGACCAGCCCGGCCAATATGGTGAAACCTTGTCTCTATTGAAAATACAAAATTAGCCAGGTGTGGTGGCACGTGCCTGTAACTCCAGCTACTTGGGAGGCTGAGGCAAGAGAATCACTTGAACTCAGGAGGCGGAGGTGGCAGTGAGCCGAGATCGCGCCATTGCGCTCCAGCCTGGGCAATAAGAGCGAAACTTCATCTCAAAAAACCAAATGGGGTGAATATTTTACCTCCATTTTACAAATTCGGAAATACAGGCGCAAAGTAATTTAACCAAGTTCATGCAGCTAGTAAATGGCAGAGCCAAGATTCTAATTCAACTGTGTCTGCTTCTTTCCAGTGTAACACCTCTGGAAGCCAAGGGCCTTCTAGGTACACTAAAAAAGTTTCAATGAAGCCAGGTGAGGTGGCTCACACCCGTAATCCCAGTACTTTGGGAGGCTGAGGTGGGCGGATCACCGGAGATCGGGAGTTTGAGACCAGCCTGACCAACATGGAGAAACCCCGTATCTACTAAAAATACAAAATTAGCCAGGTGTGGTGGTGCATGCCTGTAATCCCAGCTACTCAGGAGGCTGACGCAGAAGAATTGCTTGAATCCTGGAGGCGGAGGTTGCGGTGAGCCAAGATCATGCCATTGCACTCCAGCCTGGGCAACAAGAGTGAAACTCCATCTCTAAAGAAATAAATAAATAAGTTTCAATGGGAAAAGAAAATTCCCTCTTCTGGAATTCCTTCTAAGATTAGACTGGACTGTTGAGGAAAAAGGGGTTGAGACCTAACCTGAAATAAGGGGATTTTCCAGATTCTCCCCTTTGGTATGGCTTTTTTATATTATTTATTTATTTATTGAGAGAGAGTCTCACTATGTCGCCCAGGCTGGAGTGCAGTGGCACGATCTTGGCTCACTGCTTAAACCCAGGAGGTGGAACTTGCAGTGAGCCAAGATCGCACCACTGCCTCCAGCCTGGGTAACAGAGCAAGACTCCATCTAAAAAAAAATAAAAATAATATTATATTCTCAATCACTGAAGAAAGATTTGTTAAATGTCTTCAGAGTTCATTTCACTCTTTTTTTTTTTTTTTTTTTTTTTTTTGAGACAGTGTCTCATTCTGTGGCCCAGGCTGGAGTGCAATGGCATGATCTTGGCTCACTGCAACCTCCACTTCCCCGGTTCGAGCAATTCTCCTGCCTCAACCTCCTGAGTAGCTGGGACTACAAGTATGTGCCACCACACCAGACTAATGTTTACATTTTAAGTAGAGACGGCATTTCACCATGTTGATCAGGCTGGTCTTGAACCCCTGACCTCAGGTGATCCACCCACCTCTGCCTCCCAAAGTGCTGGGTTTACAGACATGAGCTACCATGCCCGGCCCCTTCAGAACGCATTTCATTCCTTTCCCCAGATTACACTTCTATATTTCATCCAGAGATTAGAAGACTGGACTATATTTATTGGACTAGTAAATTGCCTGTTTTCATCAATTGTACTTTGGGTAAACTGCAGGATGTTGGATCAAGTAATCCTGACCCCGGCTGGATGATTCAAGGTACACACACATTTCTAACACAAATTGTTCTCATTTTCTTTACAGTGACTCTGTAGGCAGAAAATATAATAGACCCTTAAGATAGAAAGCTAGAATGGTATAGTAGAAAAACTACGAGTTTGGGGGTCAGACAGACCTGGGTTTAAATATCACTTGCACCACCTGCTAGCTGTGATCCTGAGAAAATTACTTTAGCTTGCTGGGCTGCCGTAGCCTCATTTATAAAGTGGAGATAACCACTACAGGTAATACATAGGGACAAAAGTGAGGTATTCCTAATGTGGAATTGCTTTCAGAATGAGATTCAGAAGAATCGTTTTATAATGGCTGTCAGGCCATCTACAGAAATGACACAAACCAAGCATAATTTGTAAATTTTTGAGGAGATTTGAGGCCTAGTCCCAAATAAGGTGATGAGGGCTTGGTCTCAGGAAAGCATATCTGAAGCTATAAAAAATAAGCCTTAGATGAAACTAAGCGTAACAAAAGCTCAGTCAAAAAAATGATATATAGCTGGGCACGATGGCTCACGACTGTAATCCCAGCACTTTGAGAGGCCAAGGCAGGTGGATCGCCTGAGGTTGGGACTTTGAGACCAGCCTGGGCAGCATGGTGAAACTCCATCTCTACTAAAAAAATACAAAACTTAGCCAGGCGTGGCGCCTGTAATCCCAGCTACTCAGGAAGCTGAGGCAGGAGAATCCCTTGAACCCAGGAGGCAGAGGTTGCGATGAGCTGAGATCACGCCATTGCACTCCAGCCTGGGCAACAGAGAGAGACTCCATCTCAAATATATATATTTATAGACTGTATATCATATATATACACATATATATGCATATGGACTGTATAAGCATATATGCATATATGTGATATACAGTCTATAAAAGACTAAAAAGGAAAATACATAGATCTACATAGTCATAAAAGGTTTTCCCTACTAAAAGAGTGTCCTAAAATCAGTCCTTTGGTGAAGCACCACTAATACAGTCTGGGGTTAAGAATACCTGACCCATGAACACAAACATCTGGTCCATGGGCAAGTAAAGAGTGTCGTGAATATTATCTTTTAATATCCCACTTCCGGCCGGGCATGGTGGCTTATGCCTGTTATCCCAGCATTTTGGGAGGCTGAGGCTGTTGGATCACCTGAAGTCAGGGGTTCAAGATCAACCTAGCCAACTTGGTGAAACCCTGTGCCTACTAAAAACAATAAAAATTAGCCAGGTGTGGTGGCAAGCGCCTGTAATCCCAGCTACTTGGCAGGCTGAGGCAGGAGAATTGCTTGAACGAAGCGGGGGTTGCCGTGAGCCGAGACTGCGCCACTGAACTCCAGTCTGGGCAACAGAGTGAGACTCTGTCTCAAAAAAAAAAAATCTCACTTCCCTTTCCTCTGGGGTCATATGCTCACCAAGAATCTTTCTATTTATTTTATTTTATTTATATTTGCTTTCTCATATATCTTTATTAAATGCAGATGTGCTGACCAGCTAACATTAATGGTGTTACCCTCTAGGTATTTCTATTTCTCCATATAAATTAATAAATTAGTACTCTGGCAAGTACATTGGACCCACAGGAGTTTAGTTAGTATGGCTCTATCTCCCTTTGGTATACTTGCAAAATTAGAATTCAGAAGCAAGATTCTAAAAGACTGAGAAGAACCTAGTATTGCTGAGTGCGTAAAGAAACAGCAGGTCCTCAGACCTAGAAACCTTTCTGGAAACAATTTTGACAATGTCTTATCAAAATACGTGCACCCTTTTAACTGAATAATCCTACTTCTGGGAACTTTGCCCCAGGAGATAAATACATAAGTTAAAAAGTGAGGATTGCCGGGCGCGGTGGCTCAAGCCTATAATCCCAGCACTTTGGGAGGCCAAGGCGGGTGGATCACGAGGTCAAGAGATCGAGACCATCCTGGTCAACATGGTGAAATCCCGTCTCTACTAAAAAATACAAAAAATTAACTGGGCATGGTGGCACGTGCCTGTAATCCCAGCTACTCAGGAGGCTGAGGCAGGAGAATTGCCTGAACCCAGGAGACGGAGGTTGCGGTGAGCCAAGATCGCGCCATTGCACTCCAGCCTGGGTAACAAGAGTGAAACTCCGTCTCAAAAAAAAAAAAAAAAAAAAAGTGAGGATGTTCATTAAAGCACTGTTTACATTAAAAATTAGACTTTTGGGTTGTTTTCATCAACAGGGCACTAAATACGTCAATTATGGCCCAATCTATAAGTTGATTAAAAATATATTCTCTGAGCTGGGCATGGGGGCTCACGCCTGTAATCCCAGCACTTTGGGAGGCCAAGGCAGGCAGATCACGTGACATCAGGAGTTCGAGACCAGCCTGGCTAACATGGTGAAACCCTGTTTCCACTAAAAATACAAAAAATTAGCCGGGTGTGGTGGCACACGCCTGTAGTCCCAGCTGCTCCGGAGGCTGAGGCAGGAGAATCGCTTGAACCCAGGAGGCGGAAGTTGCAGTGAGCTGAGATCGCACCATTGCACTCCACTTTGGGCAATAAGAGCAAAACTCCGTATCCAAAAAAAAAATGTGTTTTGCAATCAATAAAAAGAAAGATGTAACCTCATATTTATTGACATGGAAAGATATCCATGATATACACATTAAGTGAAAACAACACATGTAGTAGAATCCTGTTGGTACAAAGCTGCATACCTCTGAGCACAGCAGGCAGTGTTTCCCTCAGATAGATGATAGATAGATAGATAGATAGATAGATAGATAGATAGATGATTAGATAGATAGATGATTAGATAGATAGATGATTAGATAGATAGATGATTGATAGATAGATAGATAGATAGATAGATAGATAGATAGATGATAGACAGATAGATGATAGATAGATGATAGATGGATAGATAGATGATAGATAGATGATAGATGGATAGATAGATGATAGATAGATGATAGATGATAGATAGATTATAGATATAGATAGATAGATGATAGATGATAGATAGATAGATGATAGATAGGTAGATAGATAGATAGATGTTAGATGATAGATGATAGATAGATGATAGATAGATAGATGATAGACGATAGATACATGATAGATAGATACATGATAGATAGATAGATGATAGATAGATGATTGATAGATAGATAGATAGATAGTTTTTTGTTTTTTGTTTTTTGAGACAGAGTCTTGCTCTGTCGCCCAGACTGGAATACTGTAGTGCGATCTGGGCTCACTGCAACCGCTGCCTACCGGGTTCACACGATTCTCCTGCCTCAGCCTCTCGAGTAGCTGAGATTACAGGCGCCTGCCATCACACTTAGCTAATTTTTGTATTTTTAGTAGAGACCAGGTTTCACCATGTTGGCCAGGCTGGTCTTGAACTCCTGACCTCAGGTGATCCACTCGCCTCGGCCTCCCAAACTGTCCCTCATATATTATATAGAACATTATATTCCTATGAGTTTCTCCATGGTCTATGAAAGGTTGCATATTATAATTATCTTCTGAAAAGTTACCATGCTCTTTAACACAGTGAATACTCTTGAAGCAAAGTTTTAACTTTGCTTAACCTAGCATTACCCAAAGCAACCTCACCGTAGAGCCCTTTTATCACAGAACACCTTTTAAAATACCAAGAGATTGAGTGCAGTGGCTCACACCTGTAATCCCATCACTTTGGGAGGCTGAGGCAGGCGGATCACCTGAGGTCAGGAATTCAAGACCAGCTTGGCCAACATGGTGAAACCCCGTCTCCACTAAAAATACAAAAATTAGTTGGGCATGGTGGTACACGCCTATAATCCCAGCTACTCAGGAGGCTGAGGCAGGAGAATTGCTTGAACCTAGGAAGCCAAGGTTGCAGTGAGCCAAGATTGTGCCAATGCACTCCAGCCTGGACAACAGAGTGAGGCTCCATCTCAAAAAATAAACAGATAAATAAAAAATAAGGCCGGGCACGGTGGCTCACGCCTGTAATCCCAGCACTTTGGGAGGCCGAGGCGGGTGGATCACGAGGTCAAGAGATCGAGACCATCCTGGTCAACACGGTGAAACCCCGTCTATACTAAAACTACAAAAAATTAGCTGGGCATGGTGGCACGTGCCTGTAATCTCAGCTACTCAGGAGGCTGAGGCAGGAGAATTGCCTGAACCCAGGAGGCGGGGGTTGCGGTGAGCCAAGATCGCGCGATTGCACTCCTGCCTGGGTAACAAGAGCGAAACTCCGTCTCAAAAAAATAAATAAATAAATAAAAAGTAAAAATAAAAATAAAATACCAAACAAAAATAAAGAAAGTAACACACTACAGGTTATGGAAAACCCTTTGTGAAACACAGCCATCACAGAATATTCACTCGAATGTTTATAGTATATCTCTTTATATCTTTTTTTTATTTGTTTAGACTGAGTCTCAGTGTGTTGCCCAGGGTGGAGTGCAATGGCATGATCTCGGCTCACCAAAACCTCCACTTCTTGGGATCAAGCAATTCTCTTGCCTCAGCCTCTTGAGTAGCTGGGATTACAGGCTTGCGCCACCACACCCAGCTAATTTTTGTATTTTTAGTAGAGACGGGGTTTCTCCATATTGGTCAGGCTGGTCTCCAACTCCAGACCTCGGGATCCACCCGCCTCGGCCTCCCAAAATTCTGGGATTACAAGCGTGAGCCACCACACCTGGCCTATCTATATCTATTTTTTCACCAAAACCACACATCATCTTTGTGAAAACAAAAACTATTTGTGAAAGAAAAAAGTCTAGAAATACAAACAATGATGAATGCCAAGTATTGGGAAGCTACTCTGTGTTGGGTACCATGCTAAGGGCTTTACAAATTCTGAAAATGAGAATTAAATGACATGAGAAGAAACCAAGACTCAGACATCATGTGACTTACCTAAGCTCATGCAGCTAGTAAGTGGCAAAGGCACAATTTGAATCACAGATCAGTCTGCCATTGTCTGTGTTCTTTTGTCTACACTATACTGTGTCTCTCCCATGTGATATTCTTCCTTTAAGGTCCCACGTGAGCAGCCAGCCAGCCTGCCAACCCCAGAAGATGCCCCTCCAGTTCCCCATGTACCTGTTTCAAACCTCAAACCTTTAACATGAAGAGAAAGCGAAATAGCTGGCACAGTATCCGAAATGTAGTAGATTTAATATAGTAATTCCTGTACTGACTGTCCATTAAATTGTTGGAACAGGAAGAATTTACATGTTTTCTTGGGTTCTTAGCTGTGTTATACACCTTTATCTCAAGGAAAATTTAGGCTTTAATATTAAGTACATGATATTTATAAAAAGATTAAGATAATGGCACGAAGCACTTACTTCAATCTCACAGAATAAGTGTAAGTCACATTCAACTTATCTGTATATTCTCCAGGAGTTTACATAGGGGCTCCAATATAAGTGAGGAGGTTTTCGTCTGAATGCTTACAGCTAATAAAAGAAAAAGGAGAAGGGAAGAGAATTTTTATGTGAAACTGGCATTGTAAAATTTCCAATTCATGGCTATTTAGGCATGTAGCAGGCCGAAAAAACACAGGCTTTTCATTATATTCTACATTTAAAACTCTTTATGATTTAAAATTCTTTCGTATCGAAATGTCCTCAACACTCAAATGAGACTAACTACACTATCCCAAATTCAAAACTTGGGAACTTTCCCTGTGCCTATAGGTAGAAAGAGAAAAAAATAAACCTGTCAGCAAACCTGTCAGCAAAGGACTTTTTCAAATTTCACATCAACCTTTTTCAATATACTACGTAACCCATCTTGTAACCTTAATTATGTGGCTAAAGAATTAACGGAGGTTGCGGTGAGCCGAGATCACGCCATTGCACTCCAACCTGGGTAACAAGAGCGAAACTGCGTCTCAAAAAAAAAAAAAAAAAAAAAAAGAAGAAGAATTAAATAGATGAAGCAAAAATCATATTTATAAGCACCCAGAGATTTGAGGGCCTAGTGTGTATAAAGCACCATGCTTAGAAATGAAAGATACTGAAAATATAATCCACATGACCTTTTTGTCTGAAAAATAGATAACGTATTAAAAATAGAAGACGGAAACAAACTAGAGAAGTCTGAAACCAGCAGCAAATGCCTGGTCAGGGATGTGGAGACTCTTTTGCTACTCAAAATGTAAAGAGGAATGAAGGAAAAATGGGAGAAAAATCAAAAGGAGAAACAGTGATGCTTCCCTGTTGATTTGCTTACTCAGCATACAATTTATCCCTTGGCTTCTGTGTAATAAATAACAGGCAATCCTTATGGAATTGTCTATACGTGTGTATGTGTAATAAAACCATTCACTCACAGTTGTGAAAATTACTGATGTGCACCTCTTCCTATTCGTTTTTGTAACCCTAGTGCCTGGTACATAATATGCCCTTATAAGTGTTTGTAGAATGAATAAATTGTATTTAAAGCCAGAAAGCTTCTTTATTATTTTATTTCATTTTATTTTGTTTTATTTTATTTTGAGATGGTGTCTCACTCTGTCACCCAGGCTGGAATGCAGTGGCACGATTTTAGCTCACTGCAACCTCTACCTCCTGGGTTCAAGCGATTCTCCTGCCTCAGCCTCCCAAAGTGCTGGGTTTACAGGTGCGATTCACCGTGCCCAGCCCAGAACACATTTTAAAACAGCTATAAATTTTTAAAGTTATGATTTTTTGTTTTTATTGTTTGTTTTTAATTCTCTTTAGCCTTATAACCATGAAAAGAATAATGATTGTTAAGGCTCCAGATCAAAATGTAACACTAAAGAGAACAATCAAATTACTGCATAATAATCCACATTAAGGTTTACTGTGTAAGTACAGGCCTTAAACCCAGTATAGAAAATACCTGCAACCAAGACTGTGTTAAGAGCTCTCGCCGAAGTAGAAACACTATTTTATTATAAACCACTGGCCTTATACATGAGCTGCATAAGGCTTTACAGGCCAGTTTCAGAACTTTGGCTTTTACTCTAAGTAAGCTGAGAAGTCAATGGAAGATTCTGAGCAGAGGATTGAAACAAGCTGAAATTTCCAAAGGAATGCTCCGAACACTGTATTGACCACTGGAAGACGAGGGGAGCAGCAGGGAGGCTAGCTAGGTTTTTGCGGTAATCCAAGTGAGGTAAAATGATATCATGGAGTTGAGGTAGAGTCGAAAAGTGGCGGATTCTGAAATATTTCGAAGGGAGAGAGCCATATGGTCTGTCAAAGGATTGGACTGAATGGGGGTATGAGTGAAGAGTGAAAAAGAGGAATGAAGGGTGATGCCATGGTTTGGGGCCTGAGCAACTGGAAAGATGGTGTTGTCACTTACTGAGATGGGAAAAATAACAAGGGAAGCACATCCAAGTGGACATGTCCTGGCCAGGCGCAGTGGCTCACACCTGTAAGCCCGGCACTTTGGGAGGCAGAGGCAGGCGGATCATTTGAGGTCAGGAGTTCACAACCAGCCTGGCTCACATGGCGAAACCCTGTCTATACTAATAATACAAAAATTAGCTGGGCATGGTGGTGCATGCCTGTAATCTCAGCTACTCAGGAGGCTGAGGCAGGAGAATCACTTGATCCCAGGAGGCAGAAGTGGCACTAAGGAGAGATCGTGCCACTGCACTTCCGCCTGGGCAACAGAGTGAGACTCCATTTCAAAAAAAAAAAGAAGAAGTAGACATGTCAAGTAGAGAGCTAAATATACAAGTGGATCACGAGGTCAGGAGATCGAGACCTTTCTGGCTAACACGGTGAAACCCCATCTCTACTAAAAATACAAAAAATTAGCTGGGTGTGGTGGCACATGCCTGTAGCCCCAGCTACTCAGGAGGCTGAGGCAGGAGAATTACTTGAACTCAGGAGGTGGAGGTTGCAGTGAGCGGAGGTCACACCACTGCACTCCAGCCTGGGTGACAGAGTGAGATTCTGTCTCAAAACAAACAACAACAAAATATTAGCCAGCCACAATGCTTAAAACAAAACACAAGACTGTAGGCCTAGCAAACAGCGAGGTCTGACTCACATCCATGGCCCTCGGCAGCTTGTTTAATTCTGAAAAAGATAAATTATAACACAGTCCTTGCTCTCAGGGGGCCTACATAAATGACTTTTGCAGCAATTAGAGTTTCGTTAGAGACACTGACATTTTCATGTCTTAGCTGTGGATAATGCTGCAATGAATACAGGAATGCAGATATCTGTTCAAGATACTGATTTGGTTTCCAGATACATATCTGCAAGTGGAATTGCTGGATCATATGGTAACTATTTTTTTTTTTTTGAGATTGCACCTTTGAGGCAGAGTCTGGCTTTGTCGCCCAGGCTGGAGTGCAGTGGTGCAATCTCAGCTCACTGCAACCTCTGCCTCTTGGGTTCAAAAATATATATAAACTATTTCTGTAGGCAGTATAGAATAAATACAACTGTGGAAAATTATTTTCTTGGCTTTTTTCGCTGAGTCTAAGAATATAAGATGTGACTACAAAGCATTAAGTTTGATTTTCACATAGCTGGTAAGATTAGCTTCCTGTATGATCACACTTTGTTTGTTTACCACCTTTTTAACCAAATCTCTTCAAATATGAGCAAGCAGGCTGAGTCAGACCTCACAGTTCATCACCCTAAAATTCTGTTTCCAAATATCAGTAGTGACATAAACAAAAAAGTATGACTGATTGTCCTTGCCATTGGTAAGGTATTTCCTTACATCTCTTAGTAGCTATGTTTACTCCTGTTATTTGTAAATATACCTAAACCTTTTAATTCCTCTTTATTTCTCGTTTGCAACACGTTGTAGAGACAAATAAGCTTCAAAATTTTTAACACAGCCACTAATTTTAAAAGAATTTCTGGCCAGGCACGGTGGCTCATGCCTGTAATCCCAGCACTTTGGGATGCCGAGGTGGGTGGGTCACCTGAGGTCAGGAGTTTGAAACCAGCCTGACCAACATGGAGAAACTCCCATCTCTACTAAAAAATACAAAATTAACCGGGCATGGTGGTGCATGCCTATAATCCCAGCTACTTGGGAGGCTGAGGTAGGAGAATCACTTGAACCCAGGAAGCCCAGGTTGCGGTGAGCTGAGATCACACCATTGCAGTCCAGCCTGGGCAACAAGAGCAATTCCATGCCAAAAAAAAAAATAATAATTTCCTTTTACTAAGATCAGACAGAATTGGAATTCCGTAATCATCAGGGAAATGCAAATCAAAACCACAATGGGATATCAACTCACCAACTTTACCAAAAATACAAAAAAATTAGCCAGGCATGGTGGCACGCACCTGTAATCCCAGTCACTCAGGAGGCTGAGGCAGGAGAATCACTTGAACCCAGGAGATGGATGTTGCAGTGAGCCGAGATCACACCATTGCACTCCAGCCTGGGCAACAGAGCAAGACTCCGTGTCAAAAAAAAAAAAAAAGAGAAAAAAATCCAGAGATAACAAGTGCTGGTGAGGGTGTGGAGAAAAAGGTCCCCTTGTGCACTGTTGGTGGAAATGTAAGTCAGTACAACCATTATGTGAAGCAGAATGTTAACTCCTCAAAAAGGTAAAAAATAGAGCTACCACATGATGCAGCAATCCCACTTCCAGATATATATCTGGAAACCAAATCAGTGTCTTGAAGAGATATCTGCACTCCTGTATTCATTGCAGCATTATTCACAATAGCTAACATATGAAAACAACCTAAGTGTCCACTGAGGGATAAATGGATAAAGCAATTGTGGTACACACACACACACACACAAACACACACACAGACACACACACAGAGACAATGAAATATTATCCTTTTAAATGCTTTGAAAAAGAAAGAGATACTGTCATTAGCAATAACAGGGATGAAAGCAGGACAATCACTTGAACCCTGGAGGACATTGTTAAGTGAAATAAGCCAGCCATCAGAAAGAAAATACTGCATAATCTCACTAATCTATGGAATCTTTACAAAGGTAATACATAGAAACAGAGTAAAAGAGTGGTTAGCAAGGATGGGGAAGGAAAGCAAATGAGGAGAGGTAGGTCAAAAAGTACAAACTTGAAGTCATGTAGGGGGAGTAAGTCTCGAGATCTAATATACAGCATGAGGATTATAGTTAATAATATTGTGTTATACACTGAAAATTTGCTATGAGAATAGATTTTAGGCCGGGCGCGGTGGCTCAAGCCTGTAATCCCAGCACTTTGGGAGGCCGAGGCGGGTGGATCACGAGGTCAAGAGATCGAGACCATCCTGGTCAACACGGTGAAACCCCGTCTCTACTAAAAATACAAAAAATTAGCTGGGCATGGTGGCGCATGCCTGTAATCCCAGCTACGCAGGAAGCTGAGGCAGGAGAATTGCCTGAACCCAGGAGGCGGAGGTTGTGGTGAGCCGAGATCGCGCCATTGCACTCCAGCCTGGGTAACGAGAGCGAAACACCGTCCCAAAAAAAAAAAAAAAAAAAGAGAGAGAATAGATTTTAGATGTTCTCATCACGGAAAAAAAGGGGAATCATGTGAGAAGATGGATATGTTAATTGGCTTGACTAGTAATAATTTCACTATGTGTATGTATGTCAAAACATCATATTGTAAACCTTAAATGTGTACAATTTTTTAAATTAATTTTACTGAGTAAAAAAGAAAAAAAATTATGACATAAAAAGGGAGTTGGAAAGTACCAGTGCTCTTAAGTATTAGGGGCCTGTTCATGTAATTAAATGTATGGACACTTTTTCTCAGGAAACTACACGAATAAAAATTCTCAGGGGTTGATGCATTAGGTTCCACATTAAAAACTCCTAATTCAAACATACCAAATGGAAAAAA